CTCAGACTCTTTGTTATACACTAAAGTTTCTTTTATTTTTAATTGACACTGGTTTTCTTTAGAAATTTTGTTTTTCTGATACCAAGGACTGAACCCAGGGGGACTTAAACATTGAGCCAACCCATTTTAAAATTTTATTTAGATACAAAATCTCTCTAAGTTGCTTTAGGGCCTTGCTAAGATGCTGAGGCTGGCTTTGAACTTGGATCCTTCTGCCTCAGTCTCTAGAACCACTGGGATTATAAGCATGTGCCACCATTCCTGGCAGGTTTTCTTTGGAATTTTAGGATGTCAGCATGGTGTCATGTCTTCTTTCTTGCCACAGTTTCTAGCCCAGTTGTTACAATCCTTACTGATCCGACCATAGTGCTTGCTCATATTGCCAATCATTCCTCAAAATCTTCCCTTCTCTGATTTCTGGTCTGATGCATGGTTTATATTGGTTGACTGCACATGATCACTTGAATCCTTCTCAACTTGTGCTTTTCTTTTCTTTTTAACCTTGTTTGAGAACAAGAAAAGCATCTTAAGTTTGCATACGTCCATGACAACATGCTAATAGGAAAAATGCAGTGTTACATAAACTTCAGTTTATTCACTTTAAAGGATCATTCTGTCATTAATGTATCCATCAAGTCATTTAGCAAATGTTTGTTGAGCACCTATGTGAAGGTCGCCAGGATATGCAGTAGAAAAATAATGATGTTCTGACTCTCCCTTAGGGAGCTCACGGTCTATTGAAGAAGTCAGAGGTGCATCTTTATGTTCTCTCTCTCTCTCTCTCTCTCTCTCTCTCTCTCTCTCTCTCATACACACACACACACACACACACACACACACACACACACTGTTTAAGAATTATGGCAGAGGAACTGGGACTGTAGCTCAGTGGTAGAGCACTTGCTTTGCATGTGTGGGACACTGGGTTCAATCCTCAGCACCACATAAAAATAAATAAATAAAGATATTGTGTCCATCTACAACTAAAAAATATTTTTTTTACAAAAAGAATTTGGCAGAGATCACA